TGGGTATAAAACCACTGAATTTTGAACATAGTTATGATGAGAAAGGATGCTTCTTCCCAATTTGTGAATTTCATGACCCCTGGGTCAGGGGTTCTGGTGTTAGGGTGGGGCTCTATAATGATTATATTGTGAAAACACATGTATTCTTTGGAAATATTTTCCTTTGCTCCTTGGTATAATGCCAATGATCTAAGTATATATATATATGATGAAGAAAGATGCCCCTTCTAAAATGGTTAATTTCAGGGCCCCTGCGTTTGGGGTACTGCGGGGGGGGGGGGGGGGGTACATAGTCTGAAAATAAAGTAATACTTTGAAATCTGTTCTTTGATATAAATCACCCATTTCCGATGAAATGAAATTTATGAAATTTTAAAATATGTGCCCCAGGGTCAATGGTTCCTTTGGGTTAGTGTGCACAACTGGTGGTTATAAAGTGGAAATGCATTTGCTCTCTGTTACTCTAGATCTAATCTCCCTTTAGGTATTAAGTAACCAAATTAAGCATGCTAAATGTATAGTTATGATAAACAATGGTGCCTCTTTCAAAATTGTGAATTTCAAGGCATTTGGTTTAAAGTAGTCAAACCAAATTCAGTTGTTGGAAAGTTGTTACATGTTACTCAGGTGACCTATAAGGCCCCTGGGCCTCTTGTTCCATTAAAATGACAAAATCTGAAAACTAAAGGTACAGTGTAATGTGAGCAATGATACCCCCGCCTCTCATATGAATAAAATGACAGTGTTCATGCTTTGCCATAGGGAACCAAAAAATATGTGTCGAATCAAAAAGGGAAATAGGAGGTCCACAATGGCAATATATAATAAAGACTCTCTGGAAGTTTCACCATATTTAAATCAGTGGTATGAAAGGAGTTGCGAATAAAAGATGGGTATCCCAAAGCGTAACAGACGGATGGACGCACAGACAGAGGGACATCCCGATTACTACTTTTTAAGCGTGGGTATAAAAATTAAGTAAAATCTTCGGGTATTTTTTTAAATTCAAGAGGCGGGTTTATTTCAATTAAACAACTGAATCCCCCCATACGGTTGCACCGTCAAAATATTACATGTACTGAAGCAATAAGGAATTTAATTCTGTTAAATTTTAAATTGAACCATGCTTGACGCTTTCCAGTTCTTTTAGTACTTTGATTTAGTTTGACGGCCATTTTCCAGATATGAGTTTCAGTCAGTTGTTCTTTCAGTGCCCTTGCTATTAAAGTTTGTTTTTATTCTATATAAGCGTGATTCTTAGGAAGGAAACCTAAGCTAACCCTATTGATAATCATTTTTACTTTTTTTTAAGAACGTTACAAATGCCATGCCAACATTTTTTTTAATGGATCATAAAGACATCCCTATTAATTTTGATCGGGTTTGGTCCAAATATTTAAAAATATTTAAAAAAGTAATTTCTCTAAATTTTCTCCATTTTATTTCAATTTCTTTAAAAATATGATTGCAAACATATTCACCCCAGTTGTAACTAGTTTTGTGGAGTTTTTAACCATCGATTTAAAAAAAATCACAAAGAATTATTTTGTTAGATATTCATATGATGCCTTTATTTACAGCAAACTTTTAACTCAAAAGCATCTAATTTAAAAAATCATATAAATAATTTAGAGCTAATGTTGTTCTTTCTATGCTGAAACCATTGTTTAAAAAGGATGTCTTAGAGATCTATGATATATAAAGTTGGTATGGCATTCTTCCTTAAATAAAATCGAAGCTGATTTTTATTGTCTTAATGCAAAGTTTAATTAAGTGGTATGTATTTATTTGCCCCCTTTTTTTATTAAAAAAATTAATTGTACTCATAGTATGTTCCCATGTATATAATTAATATGGAAACAAACATAAAATGCAGCTGATTGTGTAATATAATTTCATTATTGTCAAATGTTATTTAACGTTTGAAAAGCTGAATTTAGATAATTTTTCATTCAGTTTTGTTTTTTAATGTGTGATATTATAGTATTTTGTTCTTCAAAACTTTTCTGTTTCTTTTTTACATTCATTTTTATTTCAGCCATAATTAACCGGTAAAAAAGAAATGTTTTTTTTTAAAAATCTTTTTCATTGCACCCCTCGAAAGAAACATGGAAGGGTATATAGTGATCAGGATCATAATATCTCTTATACCACCACATGAAATTTATTCAGGATTTCACAGATTATTAGTTATATAATGCCCTTGTCACCTCCTATTTTACTTCCGGCTTGAAAAGTGGGAGGGTATATAGTAATCGTTAATTCCGTCTGTCTGTCTGTCTGTCTGTCCGTCTGTCACTCTTCCGTCCACAAATTTTCTGTTTTTTTCTAATATTTTTTTTTATGGTGGCCCAATCAAGTTCAAATTTGGTATGGTAGTTCAGTAGGCAGAAATACATATTTTGATGCTAAGTTTGATTCTCTATGTCTTCTGGTTTGGAGCTGGGGTGGTGGCGTAGATTCCTTAACTATGCATAAGAATGAATGGGCAACTTTTTTTATGGTTGCACAATCAAGTACAAATTTGATATGGTAGTTCAGTAGTTGGTTCTCTATGTCCCTGGTTTGGAGCTGGGGTGGTGGGATAGATTTCTTAACTTTATATACGAAAACATTGGCAAAGAGAGATAACTACTGAAGATGTTCCCATAATGATTGTAAACTGAATGCTGCTATGAGTCCCTTGGGATTAATTAGCTTTCCTCCTGAAGAAAATCCAGAGCATTATTTTTATCTGTCAAATTGAGATGAATTACCACCTCTGTCTGCAAATGAAGTTTGTTTTGAAGTTAAGTCAATTTGGAATGCTATGAACACTCTGAAATGTGGATTTAAATTTTTATAATTTATTTTTCTTTAACAGTTATGATTTCATTGAATTCTAATACCACGAAATAGATTAAAGAAGATTTTTTGATTTACTTTTTTCACTTTATGTTAATTCAAGAATATTATTAATTTGTAGGATAGTTGTATAAAAACCCCATTCTATCATTAATACTGAAAAAGTTCTCATTGTAACTTAAGAAGAAAATGATGAGAGAGGTACAATTAATCCCTAGGGATTAATTATTTAGCCTGCTGCAGAAAATTTAGTAGGCTTTTCTTTATCTGTCACTTTAAGATTGATGAAAACCTTTGACTGCAACTGCTGTTTGTTTGAAGTTAAGGTCAAGCCTTCATGATATTTGCATTCATTGAAGGCTGGCATTTTATATAACACAAGCTCCATAATTGTTTAAATATACATTCAATGTTAAGTTGTTTTTTACTGCCTAATGTAAATACAAGGATATTATTTTCAGGTTTTTGAATATTCAGGAATTATCTTAAAATTTTAAGAATACAGTTGCTGTTGCTTATTCTTCGTACATCTTTTAATAATTCCGTAAGCTGCACCCTATTAATTCTACCCCATGGCGGGGCCCTTGCTGACTGGTCAGTTTTCTAGTTGAATAAGTTTTAAAACAACCTGTAGCGTAATTTGCTATTAAAAAGTATGATTACAAAACACGAACTACAGATCGATCGGTTACGTGAAATCATCCATACGTAGCGCTTTAATAAGTTCTTACAGTTACAAAAGTTAATTATCAAAAGTTGACACTAAATTCAGAAAACTTACAAACAATAAATGCCAAAGAAAATATTAAGTACATTGTCTTTGCAGAAATACAAAATCTTTCTTGTATCAAGCTTAGCAACGGCAACCTTCCCAATAGACTATTACTATTTAAATCATATAGCACTCGGTCGAGAGCTTTCAAACTTGTAACTATTATCAAATACCGCCGATAATGAAAATTTCTCACAAATATTTAGGTATAAAACTAATAACATGAAATATTAATCGATTAAAAGAAAAAAAAACTTTGCTACGATATCGTATATAATAAAATAGTTATAAAATTTATATACATATTTGCTCAGCCAACTCGTGCAAATATTCAACAATAATATAACTTTAATAACCCTATACATGTAGAATTAATTTCCATGACTTTATAAATTTTAAGGAATATTGTCAGTGATCATTGAGAATTAGTTCATGAAAAGTTATAAATGAACAAATCAAAAATATAAAATCTTTTGCGAATTATTTTCCGTACACGTTTATAAGGGATATCTATGATCGATACAATGACTGGAATCGAATATGCAACATTTCATAAAATAAGGATAACGAACATTATTCAAGCTCGAAGTCATATCAAAAATACAGATCGTGAGCAGAGCAAACACTAACCTCCAAATACAACAAAGGTGGGACCATGTGCCATGCAGTAGTGAACATCCTCCGTCGACGGGTCAGATCCGCCGTGTTTGCCTTGTCATGATTGGGAAAAGGGGGGGTGGGATGTTGACATTTCGGTGTGTAAATATAAGCCTACCAAATGTCAATCAGCTTTTGACTTAATGGGAATTCCAACAGTTTTTTGGAGAACCCGATCTCCAAAAACTACATAGATATTATCAATCAGAAACTAAAGCATCTTTTTAAAATCAACTTTAGAATCTGCAAACGTCTGTCAAATTTCTATTCACTTACTAGCATATCTTTGAAATTATTTCTTAAGAAAACAAACGCGATACAGGAATAATCGTGACATAGATGAAGGATATGGAGATAACGAACAGTATTCAATCTCAACGTCCATTAAACAATATACAAAATAAGAGCAGAGCAAACACGGACCTTCGAAACATCAGAGGTGGGATCAGGTGCCATGGAGGAGTGAGTATCCCCTGCCGACCGGTCACACCCGCCCTGTGCTCCTTTTCACGATCAGGAAATAACAGAAAAATCCGTCGTATCTTTTATTTCAAGCTTACGAGGATATATCGTATCGACGTAGGAATGGAAATTACAATTATTAATTGACAATACGTCGTTGATATATGTGAATGTTTTTCATTGCTCTATATGATATTATCTCTCAAATGTACAAGTAAGAATCGTTTTCCGATGTGATTTATGATTCTTTTCTTTCTATTTTTAGGCTGTTTAACAATGGATTTTTCGTTTCCATGGAAGAGTGACATCGATTTTGAATATTACATCACGATTCATAAAGATTTTATTGGACGAGAATGGATCATAGAAGATATAAGCTACTATCTTCTCAATACAGAACACAGGGGTCTACTGCTGACTGCTGAAATGGGGTTTGGGAAATCCGCCATCATATCAAATATTGTCTGTTCGAATAATAAACTTTCGGTAGGATACCCGATTTATGACAAACTGGCTGCTGTACACCTATGTAAATATGATTCTCAAATCACCTTAGAACAGGGACTTTTTGTTCGAAACTTGGCCGGAGGAATTGCTCAGAAATTGCCGGAATTCGGGAACATTATACAATTTGATAAAATGGCGATAGAATATCTCTTTACAAACAAATGCACTGAAGATCCAAAAGGTTGTTTTGATTTTGCTATATTGAGTCCCCTTCAGAAAGTTCAAAGTGCCCCCGAAAAGTTGATAATAATTGTTGATGCACTTGATGAATGCTCCGAAAGTGGTTATGATAGTATTTTTTCTTTGTTGCATGAAAAAGTTCCACGTTTCCCTGCTTACATAAAATTATTATTTACGTCTCGCAATATCTCACGTATTCGAGATAATCTTCCACCGGGAATGATAATTTATACAAATGAGCATTTGAAAGAGAACAACGTTGAAGATGTCAAACGTTTCATCAAAAATCGTTTAGAAAATACCACAGTAAATAGAAAGTTCGGAGAAATTCTGAGTGATTATCATATCGATACTCAAATAGAAAAAATTGCAGATCAGGTTGATGGAAATTTCTTATTTTTGATTCATGGTTTGGATTACTGGATAAAAACTAAAGATCTTGGTGAAATTCCTGACACTCTTGAACACATCTACCAACTTAATTTAGAACGTGTTTTTGGAAAATCAAGGGAGGCATTTGAAAAAGTTAGGTCAATATTTGAAATTTTGTGTGCGAATTTAAATCATATAACAAAAGAAGAGTTATTTCTCTACTTGAATGTAACACACAAAAAAGATAAAGACAGTATATCACGTATTTTTAACGATGAGTTGTCCCATTTCTTGACGAAAAATTCTGAATTGGGGACGATAGGATTTTCACACAAAAGGCTGTCTGACTTTCTTTCAGGAGAAGTGAACATCAATAAGAATTTCTTCATTTCGAAGGAACCTGGGCACGCTGCGATTGCTAAATACTGGATAGATTATTTAGGAACTCCGTATTTTGAACCACAAAGATTAGACATGTTAGCGTTTTTGTACCATGTAGCAAATTCAGGAGACGATGATATTAAAAAGCTGTTCAATGATAGACTTCATCACAGAAGTGACATTAATATAAGCGATTTTACTAAGTTTATTTTACACAAAGCAGCAGCTCGTTTTAATTCACTGGAAACTATAAAACTTATAATTTCTTCATGGCCACAACTTAATGTAGATGAAGAAGACAGTGGAGGTTCATCTCCATCTTATGTTTCAGCTGCATTTGGTAACGAGATGTCTTTAAAATCATTGTTGGACAATGGGGCAGATATAAGTTACGTGAAGCCAACTTTTCAAATAGATAGAATTTCACCCGAATTGGACATTATAAATATTTGCAAATATGAAACTCATTGGGGCTACAATCTCCTAAACGTAGCCTCTCAGAACGGTCACGAAGGTGTAGTCAAAGTTCTTCTACAAAACAATGTGGACGTGTTACACGAAAACGCAGTTGGTCTCAACTCATTTCATCTAGCAGCTGAACATGGACATCTTCGCATTTTGAATATTCTGTTATTCAATCATTCTACGGAGCTGATATCTAGCTTTAATATTTCACTCTATCTTGCTGCAAAAAACGGACATGCTCATGTTGTTGAGTATCTTCTGTCAACGGGGGCTGTTGATCGTTGTTTAACGTGTAATGGACGTTTATACTGGGTGCCAAAGGGGAAAAAAAGACTTCAGAACAAAGGGTCAAACGAAATTACGGATGAGGCAAAATTTGTATTGAAGGACGATCAACGATTCCTTTTTTGTGAGTCATCTTTGGAAATAGCAACACAGAATGGACATTTAGAAGTTGTTAAAATATTACTGAGACAACAGTTTCATGCTATTTCTTGTACGGATGCTCGGGGGAGAACACCAATCTTTACAGCAGTGGCATTTGACAGGAAAGATATACTTCTATATTTTTGGAAATTGGGAATTAATTTTGATAAAAGGTGTGAGAAAAGAACTAAGGTCAGTGTTAAGGGACATGAAAAAATGTTATTTCATTCGAAACAGTGTATCAATGGATTACATTTTGCTCACATGCTAGCGCTTTATTCGTCATTTAAAACAGTGATTTCCTTATTTAAGGAAAAGTACCGAATGCCAGTTGTGACGGACGCAAACGGTGCTACCCCGATGCATTACGCCAGCTGTAGTGGGATTGATACAACTACTATTGCAGTACTGGAAAAATCTGAAATGTACAGGTATACAGATAAAACACTTAATGGTTCTACTCCTGGACACTCGGCAGCCCTTTGTAAAAATTTTATTGCCTTAAGTAGAATGATTAGGCAGCATAATTCTACCGTATCTGCTGTATTAGATAATGAGAATAAAAATCTACTTCACTATTACGCACTTAAATGTGAAATACAGACAAGGGATTCTAAATTCACTAATCCATTCACTAATCCTCTGTCAGGAAGAGGACTTATTGAGATCGTTCTAAAATCAAATATACTATACAACAAGTTAATGAAAGAAAAGGACAGTGATGGAAGGATCCCTTTACATTATGCCGCAATGACAGGAAACCATTCTGTAATATCTGCTTACACATATAATCTTGATCCGATCGTATATCAAATTAGAGATAATGATGGCATGACTGTCCTAGATACACTTTTTGAACACATGGGAAAAATCAATCCTCGTGGTAATACTTACTTAATTGATATTTCATGGTACTGCAATTTAACAGGTTTATTCACTTTGCCTGAGTGCTCAGATGCACTTCTTACTGTGACGGACTCATTCGAATATTTTGCGTATGAAATAATTGCACAGTTGGTGAAAACAGATTTTTTGGAAGGAAAGGATATCTTCATTTATATGGAGAGTGCTTTGATGAAAAATAGAATTTATATGCTAAGTTTACTTAAGCATTTCTATCCAAAGTATTACAGTTCTGTTATTCATGAAAATTCTTCGTATTTGTTTAGGCTGATAACACAAGGACACCTGCACCCAAGCCCTTTATTGGGCCCTGTAATATTAAATGAACTTTTTGCTCTTTCTTGCAGTAAGAATATTAACAAAGCGTATCTAAAGAAAATTTTATATGATAAAAATAGAAGATTTTGGCCATTATTTTCTAGAATAGAAACAAAAAGTACAGTGTATCAACTTAATATGTCAAATACATATTTACTGGAGTTTTGTATGAGAGGGGACTTATTAGAAGTTGCTAGTCGAGGCGGAAATGCAGCAATATTTGAAAATACAACTTTACACCCTAGAATTAATCTGTTTGATTTCTTAAAAATTGCACCGACTTTAACGTTCAAGTTGTTTCAGTTTAAGTTACAACCCGCTTTTCATGCGACAGATTTCAATACCATATTATATTACTTTAATCATGCAGAACCGTACTCCCATTCATATTTTGTGGACGCAATGTTGAAACAGCATATTCGTTTAGACTTTTCCAACGAATTGCTGCTATGTTTTAAAAACGAGTCTCTTAGCCCTATTCATCTGATAGTTGCAAAACGATTTATTCTGATTGTTAATTTTTTACAGAGGTTTTCTGTTTCTATTTTGGATTGCCAAAACAAATATTCAATTACGCCTTATGAACTAGATTATTTTTTCAATCATCAATTTCTAAAGGTTGAAAAAATTCATTTAGATTTTTTCTTGAAAGAGGACTTTATATCGCTCATGTTTAAAATGTTCCTTGATTTTAAGTCATTTGTCTTTCCTAAGAATTCAATAGCTTGGAAGTGTTTAGGGTTTCTTTACAGTTTTAATGATAACCTTGTAAGGACATTATCTTGCAAAGAAAAGCTTGAAGCCGAGATACGATGTTTGATTAGTTCTTTACATGAAATTGATAAATCTCTTTATAATGAGTTATTCGACTTTCATAAAATTTTACGTAATGTCCGCTACAAGAATGTTTTTAATTATGATGTTATTTGGTACATAAAAAGAATTAAACAAGGTTTGTTGAACAAAAAACCATCAGATATAGAAACGTATCATTATTTAATAACAGTTTTAAAAAATCGAAATTGTTTTATTATTCATCACATATATAAAGAGACACAAAATGCAAGTAGATTATGTATTAGACTCTTTTCAAGACTGAATAAGCTAAAAAAGGGCGTCTTTTTCGAAACGAAAGCTTTACTTCAAATGGTGTTCCCCATAGCTTGTCTTATATACGACATGAAATATGCCGAACTACCAGGTTTGGCCAAACAAAGTACTCTTCAGAATGTAAAAACAATGCTAGTATTTTCATCGTATCTAGGTTTTCAGAATTCTCGGAGGTTCAAATACTGGGATGCTTTGCAATCTCGTTTCAATAACCCCTTCCGGGAAATGAACGATGTTATTTTGGCTGCAGACATCAAAGATATTTTGCAGTGGACAATAGCTGAAAAACACTCTGAAAATTTTTCTTCTATTAATCCTCTAATCGCATATAAAAATGTTTTTGATAAAAAATGATTTGTTATAAGGATCTTGTATTTTTTTTTTATAAAAAAAAACGTTTCTTAAAATTCATGTACTTGTATTTAAATTCATAATAAAAGTTTATTCAAAAAAATAGAGAAGACTTTACTTTTATTTAGTGTTATAATTATTTTCTTACTACATAGCAAGGTTCTTCACTGTCTTTAAATTTAAATATATATATATATATAATCGTGTTTTTTGAAAACTTCCGAGCAATTCGTTCTTTTTTTCTGGAGAAAAGCGATTAATAAGTTGTAAAATGCCAATTGAGTACATCTTTACACGTACAGTGCTGTCATAAGATTTCTCGATTTACCTAATGAATAACTGTCCAATATTTTGGTTTCATGTTGTGTTAGATCGGTTCAAGGGTAGTGCAAAAAAAATATTAAATCCTAAGTCAGAAAGGATAACTCTTATAATCATTATTTGATTTTAAAAGTCTCAACATGAAGCTTGAAATTTAAAACTTTTCATGCAACAGTTTTCATTTATGCATCTAAATAAGATTAAAGGTTCTTTGAATACACTAAGAATTTTCAAAATATAAACAGTAAATAGCACAAGTATTTTTTTAACAATCAGCTCAATAATTATGCAACTATAATCGATGATGTAGAATATACAAACCACACGTTACATGGATGCCTTTTTCGCTATGCAACAAATATTTGTTGAGTATGTCTGATTATTGAGAAAAATACAGACTAACTATAAACCCTTCGCTTTCCATTACTTCTGTTACCACAGTTGCATTATTGCGCGGTAAATTTGAAGTCATAGAAAGCAACACAATTTTACATTCAAAGTTGTATTATTATTTTAAAATCAAATTATAAGGAATGACTCTAATTCTTGGCCAAATTATTGATTATAATCTGGTTTGGGTCAGTTTACGCTTTATAATCCGCGAACAAGATTATACTCGATAATTTGGCCAAGAATTAGAGTCATTCCTTAAAAAAAATAAAAAATATATAATTTTGAGAAAAACAAACATAGGGAATATCCATAAGTAAATATAATGCAAAAATTAATAGATTTCGATAAAATCAATAAAGATGAAGAATGACCATGTAAGACGTGGATATCCTGTTTAAATTGTTTTGTAAATAAGTGTAGAAAATCTTTAACTTAAAATAAATCTAAAAGCTTCTAAAATTTAATGTTTATAACATGAAATACAAAATTGCATTAAATTGTCTAGATCTAACAGTTTATAATATATATGCTCTTGTGAAACAAAAGCAGTTTAATCATAGATTTATATTTTTTAAAATCATTTTTATTTTAAGTAAAACTTTTCTTACCCAAGCAACTGCCCTCGGTAAATCTATTTTTTTTATATATATAAAATCAACAACAGAACAGTTTTTATAATTCCATAAATGTTTTTATTCAAATGACGATAATTCCAAAATATGAAAATTACTGACAGGCCAAAACTTAATATTTCCTGTAATATAATTATTGATAAAACTGACCAAAATGATTGCAACTTACATAATACACTGAATGGCCTCCAAGAACTCGGTATTTTTATTCAAAGTGTTAAAGTTTCAAAATTAATTCAATGTATTGTTTTTAAAGTTATAATGAATAAATTGGATAATTTTATACACATGTATCCATAGTTTCATACATTGATTTACTGCAAAAGAAAATACAATATTTTCCAAAGATCTGACTCAAATTTTTCTCAAATTTTACCAATCTCAACATACTTTATGATTTTTGAATTAAATACATTCAAGACAGGTATTTATATACATCTTTTTATTCATCTTTTAAGAAATCTAATAAAGAATACTGAATAACAAACGAACTATGCATTAAAATAAAATGCTTTAAAATAACGATATTTAAATGGAAATATCCTCAGGTAGTGTAAATTTGAATTTGTTCAAATCATGACCTCCAGAGATAGCGTGAGGCCAAACTCGACGATCAAAATTTTATGCAAGAATAAATAGAAAAATTATTTTAAAATCTTCTCAAGAACAACAAAGACATGGATTGGTTACCGGTATTTTATGTGGATGCATTCTCATGTAGAGATAAGTCAAATTTGTTGAAATCATGACATTCAGGGCAGGATGGGGTCAAAATGAAAGTAAGTTAATTCAAATCAACCCCCATCCTATTTTTTGGACAGTCTTTGGACTACTTATACACAATAGCTTTTCAATACTGGGTTGATATTTTGCTCCTTCTTCCTCTAGCCACAGTGATCTGGTGAGTGTTGTGGTATTTGTTTTTTTTTTAAGGGAAATTATCTAAAATGTTGCTACATTTATATTTTTTGAGAACATCTATTGAATAAGAAAAGTAATCCATTTTACACCTAAATGTTTTTCAGTTAGTATAGTTCTCTTCACAGTACAAGTCACTAAATAAATCAGAACTTTAACCTGGCACACGTGTCTAAAACCGAATGTTCAGAGACTGAGACATTGCAAGAGATTACATGTTCTTCCGTTTTGTTTTTCTCAAGGAAAAATATTATCTTTAATAATAGTAAAACTTTTATTACATGTTAAATAAATAACAGATATATAAATCTCAATTTAAGGAATTTTCTTACCATTTAAGGATTTTTATGCCTGGCTGATACGGTTAGAAACTGAATGAGTAAAGGAAATACCAGTGTAGGTATACCGAGGAGGAAGTAGTACCTCATTTATAAAGATACTAACATTCTGAACAATTAGATAGAAATGTAGTGGTTCTTAATGCAAACTACGTCAGTGACTAAAACATACACGGTAAATACCAGGTAGAAGGATATAGAGATAACGAACAGTATCCAGGAAACATCTTGAAAGAAAAAGAATTGTAGAACCAATTTAAAGTCTTCATCGTTTTACACCCTCTAACAAAGGATAATATTCGTGTAGCGTTTTTATTATAAATCGTATCTATGTCTTTTCATTTTATATATATATATATATTTTGATAATTCAAATTTCACTACAGTGGTTCATTATTTGGGTTAACATGTAATTCGGTAACCTATAAATTTCTTTTTCTCGTCTGTACTGACCTAAATTTAGCTCCTGTATATCTGGGGAGGAGTTATTTTGGAAAGAGAGGTAAAATTCATACTTCATTGGAGGTATAAGATTTTCTATACATATAAGGGGATAGATTGTATGATCGTAGTAGCAGTAGTGAAAGTTTTAACCAAGTCTCTCTATGATTTTTTTTAGCTTTAAACTTCTCAGCATTAATATTTTGTGAATTAAAAATGGTGTGTTTTCATTTAAAGAGGAATATAGATAGTTTTCGATTGACCAGGATCAAAATGCTCATATTCCTTCATTGTTCTTTTAACTTAATTTTAGATTTGCTATTCTGGGGTAGATCCATAATTTTTCTGAAGTATATATATTTTTGGAAGACTCTTTTATTTTAAAAAAAATATTATATAAAGATTTTCCACCAAATGTTTCTAACACATCCTTTTAAATTTGGCAAGATAAGGAGGAAAATCACCGACTTGACCTCAAATATGGCGGCCAACTCTTGCTAAATTCAGGCCTATTGAAAACTATCTGTAGTAGCTTTTGTGTAAGTGTATTGGAATATTTACACGCCGGAAATTTACCCGGTAAGTACGCTACATTTGTTACTATAATACATCTAAACATTATCTTTATAATCTTTTGAAATGCTAGATAAAGTTGAAAAAAATAAACATTTTTTTTTACTTGGACAGACTAAAAAGAGGAATGAGACTGAAAGAAAAGAAAGAATGGGGAATAGGACAATCGATACAACACTTTTGTAAAAACAGAACCCATGTCTGTTGAATGGAATGGTAACATTTTTTTTTTATTTCCAGGTGATATTTTTCTTCCTGGAGGTAAGCATTTTAAAAACAAACCAGAAGAATTCTACCATTTAGTGATACAATAATCAATCATTTCTTCAGAGAAATAGATATTATCAAAGTTGCAATTTAATGGTTGATTAATTGATTGATTCTATGTTTTTTAATGTCTCATTCTAGAATTTTTATTTATATATAGAGACGTTATCATATAAAATAATATTTTGAGAATGAAGAAGAACAATTTGGTTTTTAGTCTGTGTAAAATTAATATAAGAAAGAGTTATCAATATACAGAGCAGTTTTTGTTTACATATACTTCCAGTGAAGTTACAAAAAGGCATGTCCACCTATAAAAAAAACCTCTCGAAGGTGTCAAGCTTTTGACAAACAAGTTGAAGAAACGGGGATATCAACAATCTTGTAAAAAGTCGTCATTTTCTAAGTCCTACTGTCGATACAATGACCTTGTCAGCAAATACAATTTATCATTTTCACGTCAAATATTGACCGATGTTTATTTTTTTACCCATTTTGAAAAAAATAAGAAAACAGCCAGTTCGACAGGTCGAAAGGGATGTTTACTTCGTGGTTCATGATCATCACTGATCCAGTGGACATTTGCGCCCGAATATTGTTTGTTATCTTTACATTTCATTTTAAAAAAATAGAATATATTAATCTTTTTTTAAAAGCATTGCTGGTGATTCTACAAAAGGTGAAACTGCATACACAAGTTTATCCAACTTGTCCATTGTTTTCAACTTTTAACATTTCTTCTAGCTACAGTTCAAAAAACACACGATATTATCTCATGATCATGTTTTAAACATAAAAAATTTAAATTTTAGGACAAAAAGGCAATTTTTCTTCGAAACCATGCGTAGTAAAAGAGGAAAATTCTATTTAATTTATTAGCGAGCAGGTATGAATACTTCCATATGGTTATTCATCTTTACAAAATAATTAAGAAATGTCATATTTTGAGTTTTATTGGTCACGTGATAAAATGAAAGATGCCAAACCGTTTTACATCCCGATAAAACTCTATATAAAAAAATACCTTTGTTACAACGCACTTTGAAAAATTACGCACATTGAAAAAAAATTTCAAAGTGCGTTAAAATTTGGGACCAAGCTAACGCACATTGAAAAAAATAAATTTTTTTCAAAGTGCGTTAATATCGACCATATTAACGCACTTTGAAAAAAAAATGTAAAGATTGATCAATATTCCTTCAAATAATCGGTATGATATACATGTATAACAGATTTTGGTTTGATAACTTTTTTATAATAAAGTCACTGTAGGACCTGAGATATTGACGTTGTAAATATTTAAGGTTTTGATAAAATAAAAGGGAAAATAAAAGGGTCTTGAAAAAAAGAATGAAGATTGTTTAAGTTCATTAATTTCCTTTCTTCTTCTTTTGTTCTAATTCTAGTCTTTAATAATTAAATGTAAAGGTATATAGGGGGCACTAACAGAGGACAGCTTTAAGCAACTTAGCATTTATCATAATAAAAAGGGGCCAATTTAATTGTTCAAAGCTATGAAAATTCTTTCTCTCTCATACTATTTACTGTACTTAAAAATTTCTAGTTTTCATCTGTTTTAATTAACTCATTTATTATTAAAAGTTTTCAACGTCATACCAGTTAGGTAAATATGCTTTGAGTATAGCATAGACATCGAGACTGGGCGAAGGGCCGGGGGAGGGGATGAGGGGGGGGGGGGGGGCTAAGCCCCCCACTTATTTTTGAAAGATATATACATCGTATAAGCATTGAAAATGCAGCGTATCCTTTTTAGGTTTATTGCTCCCCTCCCCCGTTTGTTACCGACACCTATGTATTGGAAAGATAAAGATTTGGACTTAGGGATCTTATACCCGTCTTCTCCTCTTTTCGACAGGAGTAAAATCAATTCATTTTTTAGGTTAGGGTTAGGCTTAGTTTTTTTTAAAGATAAATAACAAATAAAATCTTTCCATGACAAAAATATGATTTTTTTTCAAAGTGCGTTAAGTGTCTCAATGGTAAAATATATTGATGTAGACTCTTAACGCACTTTGAAAAAAATTTGTGCGTTGAGGTGGTCCCAAATTTAACGCACTTTAAAAATTTTTTTTCAAAATGCGTTGATTTTGTCCCAATTTTAACGCACTTTGAGTTTTTTTTTCAAAGTGCGTAATTTTTTCAAAGTGCGTTGCCACATACCTTATTACTTATATTTACATTTGTGACTAATTTATTACAAATAGTAAGGTACTTAATTTTAAACCAATAAATTATGATTTTCCCCCATATCCAAACTCAACGGATGTGTTGAACAAAGGTATAATGACGCCTTGTTCAAATAGCGCTATATCAGGGCAAAATTTTACAAATGGAGATACAACAATGTTTTTCTGATATGCAGTCATTTTCAAGATAAATATATACATAAGATTGCAGGTACTTGTTTCAATGATTTAATCAAATAATTAATTATAAATCTTAATCCGAAATATAAAAGACTGCTTGTGTAACAACATCTACATGCAAATTTATAATGTTAATTTGTTTCATTTTAGTGTATATACTTTAAAGATATACATGTACTAGTAATATGTTAAACATTTCATCGTTGATATAATTACCAGTGAGATAATATCCACACAGTATACATGTATAAGCATCAGTTTAATTTTGATGCTCTATTTATCATCACAAGTGAAATAACTCTGAAGTTTTATGTACTTGTATACGTTCACTTTGTCGTTGGTGGAAGATCCGACTAGTAACAGTTGATTTTTAAGATCATAAACTAGACTATGTGGATTATAAACCCCATCTCTTTTTGTCAGTAGCCGTGCCAGAAAGTGACCACCCTCATCTATCATCTGTACCGAGTATGTGGTACCGTCACACACCAGGATGTGTGACAACGCATCTGTACAGACGCCATAAGGGTATAATCGCGGACCCGATGGAGGTCCTGTATAGGAGAAGCGATGTCTCCCTCGTCTATCTGTCACCACTACAGCACGGTTGTTGTCGGACACGATAACATCTCCATTACGGTTCTCTGTGATGTATCTTGGTTTACTGTACAGTTCCTGACCTGCACTGTTGTGTTGAATGGTCTGGACTAGTCTTCCTTTGCTGTTGTATCGAATTATTTTAACTTCTGAATAATGATCTTTATCCACGTCATGAATTCCCATCCCTAACATTAGATCTTCAGTGGAAGAGCAGAAGACACACATTGGTTCCCAAGGGTTTGGTTTCTCTATCAGTGTAATTTTTGTTTTTGTATATGATGATAGTTTAATGATATTCAATTCGTTGTCAATAAAAATTAGGTCATTTGCAGAGTTCATTGTATGTATACCACCACTACTCATCTGTATGTTAGTTAGATGATATAAAGTGTGACCTTTAAGATTTGTCAAGAATAGACCAACTCCATCACTGACAGCCACCAGGTCTGTTGTGGAACAGGAAAGATGGTAGCCACGTCTTACAGTGGCCACACTGACAAATCCATTGGACTGAGCAGGATATTTCCATTCAAACAGGTGCTCGGGTTTTATACGCCTTTTCCCGCCTTCGGTAATTTGGATTTCCCCCAGGAACTTTATGAAATTCTGTTTGTCGAATTTGAACCTCGGATGGAAAACAGTGGTTGTAGAGGTTTCTGAAAGATCTTTCATTGTGGTTACGGGGGTGTTCTTTCGGAAGAAGAAACGTTCATGTGTTTTTTCTGATCTTTCATCATTATGTTTCTTATCCTGCAAGATACAAATTTGTCTATTTATACATTTCCGTCTTCGTTGCAGTGCAGTATCTTTTATTTTTAAAACTGGAGTTTTCTTTAGAAAAGACAAGAATTGTGCAGGCTTGTTTGCTAATTTCTCAAATTTTAGTTCATAGTTTTCAATGTTTTCAATTTTTCTCTGTTGTTCTACTACAAATTTCAGATAAAGTTTTAATTTATCTAAGTGTTGTAAACTCACATCCACTCGGTCTTTAAGTGCCTGACCTTTGGAAGCCATATTCTTCTGAAACATTGCTATTTTTATTTGACACGTGCTGAAGTCAGATTTGATGTCATTCAAAATCGACAGTCTGTGCAGGAGAATCACACTTCTGATGTTCGCAATTCTGTCTTTGTGTGAGTGTCTGTAAAATTTAAACACTGATGTAATTTCCAAAAAATCATGCTCTTCGTGACCTTCACACTTAACACAGATTGGAAATTCACACGAATGACACCATGTTTGAAATGGCATGCTGGGATGTTTTTCACATGATTCTATCTTCTTAAAATATCTTTTCTTCAAACTGTATATTGTGACGTCATGGTGTTTGGAGTCCAATTGAATAAGGTGCCTCTCCTTACAAAAAGCGCAGAGATCCAGCTTACATGTGTGGCAGTGGAATTCTAATTCACCTCGGCACTGTGCACAATGTTTGACTTTCACCGAGGTCGTGATATTTATCTCCCTTCTTGAGCTTCCAAAGTGAAAATTTTTGTGGGCTAATATACGTTTTTTATTGCTTTGATTATGCAATCTAAAAAATAAGAAAATATTTAAGGATTTGCTTGAAAATCAATGCACAAATTTTTATGCAAATGAGTTTTACAATAAATAGAACAATTTTAAGAATATTTCATGCTTAATATCTATAAATATATTGATTATTTTTCTCTATTGTTGCTTGCTATCTGATTGGCTCAAAGTAGATCATATGATCCAGTATATTAAAAAAGTCTTATAAACTGGGTATCTTTATCCTAAACTTCTAGAAAAAAAAGTGGGAATTTTTTCTAGATTTTGTGTTAGATATTGAGGGTAAGTATTTATTGAAAAATACGCGACTATTCAAGAGCAAGTTTTGATTTCGATCAGTAATGTTGATGTTACAGGAATTTTATTAAATGTGATTTCATTTTTTTTTCATTCAAACAGCATTTCTTTAATTCTTTGATAGTTATTATAATTAATTATATAATTTGTACTTAATTTGACTACAGAATGTTCTGTAGATACCTAATCGATACAAAAGGCTCGGTACAGGTGTGATCGGTGAACAGGGGATCCTTACTCCTCCCAGGCACCTGATCCCACCTCAAAATTCCCGGAGTACGTTCTTACAATAGATATTTTGTAGATACTATAAGGTTGACCGCTATTCGTTATCTTTTACCCTTAAATTTTACAGTATTGTGTAATGTGATCCGGTGAAACAAACATTTTAATTTTAGAATTTAGTAATAAGACATGATACGCATGGGAAAACTTCATATTTCAACAAAATAACACTTCACAGGGGTTTTTTATTTCTCGTGCCTTTAGATTATATTCTAGATTTATTGGATATAACGATTACATCGATAAAAAAGGAAAATCGACAATCCCCAACACTTTCTCTTATCAAATGTGTTTTTATTGTATTTGCAATATATATACATTGCCCAAAAGAGAAAAGTATCAAACAAAATCATAGTATATGACAATTGTATCAACCGGGTATACACCATAATCCTCCAAATACGATGTAATTTGAACTAGAAAATCTATCCTTATTATATATATACATATATTTGCAGTAAAACATGTATTGAATTAAGTCTTGAGCAATACTTACGTCTCTTTAAGAAAATGATTTTTGGAAGTCGTCATGGCTTTATTTCAGTTCCTATGGAAAAAAGACGAATGTACATATGAAAGTAAATACTTTCACCGAACATGTATTCATTTAATACGACTCAAATACCATTTCAATAATATTTGCTTACAAGTCCTCACATTACTGATTTGATCTATAAACTTTTTCTATTTTAACTTTTAACTTTTATATGTTAATTAAATTTGAAATGCACTTCATTCGTGCATTTGATTCGCTAATGTACTATTTTTCCATGAGTGCCTAAAACTTTTTATAAATGTTTTAGAAACATATCCGGTACTTTACTCTTTAATAAGGAAGTAAGCCTGGAATTTAAAACAAACTCCGTGTTTGCTCTGCTCCTGATTTCATTTGTATTTTGTTTAACGGACTTTTGAGCTCGAATCAACCGTTCGTTATCTCCCTGTAGTTCACCCTATATCGTATACATTTTGAATACTAATATAATATATTAGCAATATTTAAACAATCAATTTCAAGAGTGCATGCAAACAATGCAGATCAAAAGCAGAGCAAAGAGGGACCTCTAGAGCATCAGGTGTTGGATCAGGTGCCATGGAGGAGTGAGCATCCCCTGTCGACCGGTCACACCGCTGTGTACTCCTTTGTCACGCTCGGAAAATTACGAAATAAACCGTCAAATATTTACTGTGTGCAAATAATGGCTTAACTAATTCATTAGAATGAAAAAAAAGTTTTACTAAAAGATAGATTGCATTTGCTGAAAACATGGAAAAGGTCATTGTACCTACCATAGAACTAAGAAGAAGGATATGAAGATAACGAACAATATACAATCACAAAGTCCGTAAACAATACAAAACAGGAGCAGAGCAAACACGGACCTACAAAACATCAGAGGTGGGATCAGGTGCCATGGAGGAGTGAGCATCCCCTGCCGGCCGGTCACACCCGCCGTGTGCTCCCTGTCATGATCAGGAAATAACGGAAAAAAATCCGTCGTCAATTGAGTTTATAGATAATGGATACAATTGGTATGAAAAACGTCAGTAAGCATTTGACTCAATGATATTGTATTGTTGAAACTGTATTTGCTGACAAGGTCATTGTATCGACTATAGAACTTACGAAATGATGACTTCATACGAGACTGCTGATATTCTTGTTTCATCAAATTGTTTGTCAATAACTTATTTCGTTATAGAAATGTTCATATGTAGAGCTTGCGTATCGAATCAACTGAGAGATATGCATGTGATAAAGGTTTCCTGCTGCAAAAGTAAGGGAAATTGACGATTGAAAAGTAAGTCGTTTCGTTTGTTATAAAGCTTAAAAATAGCATCAACGTTTATTTCTAGTGAAATATTTAAAAATAAATGATTGATTGATTGATTGATGAAGGATATGGAGATAACGAACAGTATTTAATATCAAATTTCAAAGCCCATCAAACAATACAAAATAGGAGCAGAGAAAAGACGGACCTCCGAAACATCAGAGGTGGGATCAGGTGCCATGGAGGAGTGAGCATCCCCTACTGACCAGTCACACCCGCGGTGTGCTCCATGTCATGATCGGGAAATAATGGAAATATCCGTCGTCAATTCAGTTCATAAATAATGATGTTATATGCATTTTAGTCGAGAATAATTTTTCACTCTTATAATCATTTATCGATGAAGGGCTTTAGATTTTCACCTTTACTCGGCACTCAGGGATATTGAGCAGTGAGGGCTCTTTGTTGTTTTAGCACCTGTCGTGAGGTCTTTCACTTCAATGGAGATGTATCCAAACATCAAACATATATGTCAGACTCTGTTGTATCTTTTATTTCAAGCTCATCAAAATATATCTCATTGAAAAAGAATGGAAATGGTCATTGTTAATGGGTCCATCGACGATAAAACTTAATGTCAAGTTGAAGACTACAAGTGTTTTCTTCTTTTCAAGTATAAGAGTTTTAACAAATTTTGCTTTATATGAATACAACAAAATAAGTCTGCAAATAAAGGGACGCAATTGGTACCTTATAGAACATGAAGAATTCCAATAGATTATTGGAAGACATAGTCTCCAAAGGCAATATAAATGTAGATAATGTCAATTAAAAACCCAAGCTTCCTTTTTGATATTCGCTTCAGAGTACTTGTGTGTACAATTAGAATGTTTTTAACAAATATTTTTTTTTTGCAAATGGCCAATGTTAGTAAATTAAAGAATTTCACTTTTATTGTAACGTCAGCTGTCAATGATGAAAAATGGTCGTATATCATATTGAAAAGTTGTAAGATTTTATGTTTTTGGTTTCGGTAAATTCCATGTGATTTAATTTACTGAAAAGTTCCTTGCAGATTTTGGGTATCCACAAATTAAAAACTGATGTAACGAATTATATACCTTAGTGTACTCAACCTGTGTGCCACCGTTCACGGTAGCTCAGTCGGTAGAGCGCTCGCTCCGTGATCGGGAGGTCGTGAGTTCGTATCTCGGCCGCGACTGATCTAGTCGTTAAAATTGGTAGCAACTGTTCCTTCGCCATGCGCTCGGCACCCTGAAGTGAAAGTTGCGGGTCCTTCGGAGAGACCTTAAAAACCGAGTCCGCGTGTCAGCGGCAGGCGTTGGCACGATAAAGATCCCTCAATGGCTCAATGGCCCTGAGTGCCGAGTAAAGGTCAAAATTTGAAACCCTTCACGGCATACAGTGACGTGTCCATATGAGTGAAAAATTCTCGAGAGAGACGTTCAACAATATACAATGAATGAATCCACCTGTGTGCCACGTTGCATTGAATGAAGGAAATAGGGATAACGAACAGTCTTCAATATCAAAGTACATAAAACAATACAAACTAGTGCTAATTGTAACGGGAACCGTTACAGATGTTCCCCAAACGCTCCCCAACTCCCTTTCGGTGCCATATTCCCTGTAAGCTTCATTAAATAAGACAAACTCTGTGCATTTTTGACTTTAACAACGTTTTTCCAGAAGGATACCAATTATATTCAATTTTTAGCATTGCACCCAAGCGCATGTGAATGCATGTGCGTTATGACCATATCATCTTGTCTTTCAAGAGTATTTTTAAATATACTCGTTTCAAATGCACGCACGTGCGTGCACGTGCATGATGGTCATACCTTCTTGTAGGAGTCCCTTACATCTATCTATGTTCTAAATCCCATCCTGCTTGGTTGAAAACAAGGGAGTTATAGCCATTTAAAGTTTCAGCCAATCAGATTGCAGCACACGTGCATGCGCGTGATTTCATGATTTTTTTTTGTATATCATTTTGTAGGATATCCCAATGCATGACTATATTTTAAATTTCAAAGAATTTCGTCAAAAAACAAAGGAGATATAGCCATTTAAAGTTTCAGCCAATCAGCTTGCAGCACACGCACATGCGCATGCTTTCATGAAAATTCTTATATATCATGCGGTAGATCATTATAATGTAGGACTATGTTCAAAATTTCAAAGGATTATGACAAGAAACAAGAAAGTTATTGATACTTTAGTTTCAGCCAATCAGAGCAAAGCGCACGTGCATGCGCGTGAAATCTTGCTATTTTGACCATGCTATCTTGTCTATACTACTAATGTATCCTTACATTATGAGTTTCAAAAAATTTCATCAAAAAATAGAAAAGTTACGGCAATATCCATTACATTGGTAATTTCACCTAATGCACGTGCGCGCTCTTGCAAGCACGTGCGCGCAAAATGACCTTTGTTTGGCAACTCTACATAACATGCCTACTAACCCTAAAAAGGTTTCACCTAAGTCGGATGTGTAGTTTACAAGATCACTCGTGGACAAAATTTTCCCAGGAAGAAGAAAAATAATAATAATAATAATAATAAGAAACAGAGTAAAAACAATATGTTCCCCAACTTCGTTTGGGGAACATAAATAGGAGCGGAGCAAATACCGGCCTCCAAAACATCAGAGGTGGGATCAGGTGCCATGGAAGAGTGAGCATCCCCTGCTGACCGGTCACATCCGTCGTGTTCTCCATGACATGATCGGGAAACAACAGAAAAATCTGTTAACAATAAGGACTAACAATTACTTTGAAAAACGTCAGTCAGCAGTCAGTTGACTCAATGATAAATTGTATTCGCTAACAAGGTCATTGTTTCGACCATAGAACTGACAAAATGATGACTTTAAACGAGACTGCTGATATTCTTGTTTCATCAACATTTTTGTCACTATTTTAACTAGTTTTAGAAAATGTTTATGCGTAGAGCATACTCTTGCGTTGCGAATCAACTGAGATATACAGTATAAACTCCATACGCAGGTGATGAAGGTATATTGTTGCATTAGTAAGGGAAGTTGACGATAGAAAAGTTAAAGTCATCACGTTTATCATAGAGCTTGTTTATTAGGTTACCAGCAAAGTCTTTTTTTTTTAGATAAAATATCCAAGTACGAAACAGATGTGTCAGTCTTTGTGGTACCTTTTATCTTAAGATCACCAGGATATATCGTATCGAAATAAGAATGGAAATTACCATGGTTAATTGACAATACGTCCTCGATATAGTTAAATGTCGAGTTGAATGCCACAGGAGATGTTTGATTGTTTTTTCATGCATAAGATTTCGTGCAAATTCTGCTTCGTATAAATTCACAAATAAAGATGCTAACAACTGAGCACAATGGGTACCCATGGGAATTCCAATAGATTGTTGGAAGACCTGGTTTCCATTCCAAAAAGCATTTAGACATTGTCGATCAAAAACTCAAGCATCTTTTTTATGTCTACTTTAGAGTACAGTGTACTTGTATGTGAAATCAGAATATGTCTAACAAAATAATTTTGCAAATGTAGAATGACCGGGTAAGTAAATTTACGAGTTCCATTCTTATTGAGAAAGCAGCTGTCAATGATATCCAAAAGCCTGGACTTTAATTTATCATGGGGAATGGTTGTGTATTTAAGTTTTTAAGCTGTTGGTTTTGGTAAAATTTTATGATTTCAAATTGTCTAAAAGTTCTTTGGAACTTTTGAGTATCCACACTTCTTTAATATATTGT